GATCACACCCTATAGGCAACTGTGATTAATCCAGCATTTGGAAAACAGCTAGGACAAATGTCAGACCAAGAGCATCTGGTTGTAGCTAAATCATCTAATGACTTTCAGAAGCACAGTCAGCTTTTGGACACCTACTATCTGTGGGATTAGCAGACAGACTTGGGGCATGGCCACTTCCAAGAACCTTCCCTGAATGGAAGAGCTATGGTATGGCAAAGCAATTTTTCATAGAGGGAAACAATTCGTGCGTGCGTGTGTGTGTGTGTCTGTGTGTCTGTGTGTCTGTGTGTGTGTCTGTTTCTGTGTGTGTGCCTGTTTCTGTGTTTGTCTGTGTGTCTGTCTGTGTGTCTGTTTCTGTGTGTGTGTCTGTGTGTCTGTGTGTCTGTGTGTCTGTGTCTGTGTGTCTGTCTGTGTCTGTGTGCCTGTGTCTGTGCCTGTGTCTGCGTGAGTCTGTGTGTGGGTCTGTGTGTGTCTGTGTCTGTGTGTCTGTGTGTCTGTGTGTCTGTCTGTGTGTCCGTGTCTGTGTGTCTGTGTGTGTCTGTGTGTCTGTGTGTGTCTGTGTCTGTGTGTGTGCGTGTGCGTATGTGTGTGTGTGCGTGCTAGCATTCTTTTGGGCTAGGAGAGAGTACTGACTGGAAGAATAATTCTGGGATTTAACCAAAGCATGGTGGCAATGAGTATTCCATAAATGCCCCCAACATTTATGAATGGGACAATAATTTTTCCACTTGGGAGTTGTCCATGACATATCCTGCTCCTGAATTAACACTCTGCAAATCACGAGGAACCTTTAAGGAGAAAACAGAACAGACTTAAGAATGCAGGTCACACAGACAGGAGGTGGGAATTCTCTTCACCTGTTCTTAGACTTCTAAACCATGGAGAAATAGGCACATATTAGACAACAAACACAGATGTCTAAAACAGGTCTGATGAAGTACATCCCACAAATGCTTAATTTTCTCCAGTAACTGTAAAGTCACTATATGACTATCTTCCACACAAATATCTAAAATTAGGTAACAAGAATCCCATCCCTATCAACATAAGTCTCCACAGGGCCCAAATGGGCAGCATGAACTCCCATAGTTTGATTCTGATCAGTGCATAATCCATCACTAAAATAGTACAGGTGACCTCAACAATGATGAATATTTGATAGAGATTGTGTCATGGAACTGTTGCTGAGTGTGCTCACACTTCACAGCCTTCACAAGCGTTCCTGGCTTCCTCTTTGGTGCTGAGCTCTTGCATAGCAGTACCCATGAGTAATACTTTGTACTACCTCCAGTTGGCCAAGAGATTCTGTCCTATGCTGGCTCAATTTATTGGCCTCTATTATTCATGTTTTTGTCACCTCTTGTCTAGACTAAAACAATGCAATACTCCTGGGCATAGCGCCATCAACCTCATAAGAAACTTAGAGCTAAGAGAATTCTGGAGGAAAATGTTTTCTCCAGCAAATTAATGAAAACTGTCTCTTGTTCCCTATACTACCTAAAAAAAAGTATTAAGTCTTGTTCAAGGTTTCAGCTTTTATTTTAGAAGCATTTAATTGCTTCAACACTGCATAAGGTCCCCCTAAGCCTCTGTGATGAAAACCATGATTAATATGTCCATGTCTGACGCAAAACAGAACTCTCCCTTGTAATCATAAAGCTTACCTTTCACAGTGGGAATTTACATGGCTTTGTGGAACAAATTTCCAAAGAAAACAAGGACACTCCCACCACTAAATAAAAAGACATGCTGCTTCAAATATGCCAAATCTACCACAACGTAGTGTATGCCTTTTAAGTAGCCCCCAAACTCAAACAAATTGTGCAGTGCATGCATAGGGAGAGGAAAAAGGGGAAAGACCAAGCTACACATAAGGAAAGTCATAGGCACTGCTTAATGCAGTAGTGGAAGGAACTCAGATGTGATGATGACAAATGCAGTATAACAATCCCTGTATAAGAGAAAAGAATGGGATAACTGCGCATAACTGTGAAGAAATTTTAGGGAGAAAAGCTTATAATGCAGCATAGAGAAAATTTATGAAGGCTATACACAATCTGTTGATTAATTAACAGACACGCAGCAGTCCTACATTATGCAGAAAAAATGCTTCAAAAGAAAATTAAAGTTCCAAAGTGAGGAAATTTCAGACCTCAGTCTGCCACTGCAGGCATAACTTTCCCCCTCTGTGTGTGTGCATGGCTGAGCCCCAGAATACAGGGCCTCAAGATGACTTCAGATGAAAATTTGCCAGAACTTCTTAGCATGGGAAAGAAGTGTGTTACATCTTAGCCTTGTTCTTGGATATGGCTGAATGGAGCTGTTCTGACTGAAATTTCTCCCCCAGAATCCATGCCTGAGGCAAACATCTGGCATGGAAAACTTGAACCAAATAGTTAAGATTTTGTAAAACTATCCATAACTGAAAACAGGATCTTATAATGAGAAGGGTCAAGCAACTGGAGTAACAGGCACAGCTACCCAGCCACAGTAGAATAACAGAATTAGGCCAAAGAACTCAGAACAAGGGTATTTCATTCTGAGCTATCTACTTTTCCAGTAGAAAATGACCTGTTATCTCCAGCTTTTGAATCTTGGCCTGTGTACAACAATTTAAAATTCATTTATTCATCTGAAGTGCTACCCAGAGTTTTATTCCAAGTAACAAACCATGATGCCTGGAAAATTACTCAGATAAGTGAAGAAAGACACAGATCATCTTTGAAACAGATAATAAAAGGTAGATGCATTTTACTTGGTTTTCTTGCATATATGGCAGACTCAGATCACTTGACAAGTGAAAGACTTTAGAATTTTCTAATTCATTAAATCTCCGGCAAAACCTGAGGTGCAGAGAAGGATGGCACCAGTTACAACAAATGCCCCAAAAACTCAGAGAGGAATTCAGATACACTGGTATAAGACATAGGAAAGCAGCTGACAAATCATTTGCAAGAAAGCACACAGCAATGAAATGTTATGGATGCACTCCCTAAAACCAGAAAAGAGCTGTGACAGACATTTTACCATATGTAAACAAGAAGGTTTCGGCAGCAGAAAAGAGATGGTTAGAAAATCAGATTGGAAAATAAATCTAACAAAAGACTTGAAGGAAGAATAGTTTTTATTGTGTTATAAATCCTAATTATAGGGAACAAAATAAAAAGAAATTATCATAATTTACATATAGAGGGACAGAGAAAGACCTGTTTTCTATAGAGGAAAAAAAAGGAATAAAATACTGTGTATAAAATGTCATGTATAAATTCAGTGTCAATTTTAAAATTATATTTGTTAGAAATTTCATACTGACTGGAGTTACAAGAAAGCCTGAACATAGCCATACACAAAAAGAATGACCGAAAAAAGAATCAGTTTATTTTACGTATGTATTTCACACTTCTGTTTGTAGTGAAATTCACTCTGCTTTCATTAACATTTATATTGTAATCTGAAATCGTAAGAGGAAAGCATGCACAAACGTAGATTCCTGTTAAATACATTACATTGGAAGAAAAAAGATCTGAAACTCAATGTAGCCTGAGTTCAGCCTACATATTAGCAGATGATACCAAGCTCATAAAAATATCTTTCTGCACTGTTTTAGTTGGCAGTACCATCATCATTCCTGCAAGCAACAGAGTACACTCCAAAGTTAGTATAAACAAGCAAACTATCAATGACAAGGAAGAAGAAAAAAAGAATGGATAATCAGAGTGTCACAAGCAGAATTATGAGTCCAGAAACATACTCTTAATTCTAATTCTTCTCTCTTTCTTAACTACAGTACAGAGGTTGGAAGTCATAGCTTCTCCCTGTTTAAGTTCTTCTTTCTGTAACACTGAGATAATAACACTACCCTAACACTCAGCTTCTTGAAAAAGAGTGCCTTAAATGTAAGGTCTTGGTACTACTTTAAAGTAGGAGAAAAAAATAACAATCCTTGCATAATCCAAAACTTCAAAGTATCTTTTTCTATTTCAGAATCTTATGAACTGTGTACAGCGTGTTTTAGATCTTCCAGTCTATTCTGATTATTTATCTTATTCTGTATCTTATTTGTAAGCTGAACTTCTGTAATGGTCTTTGAGAAAACTTTCCAATCAGTGATCTTTATATGTTATGTAGACTATGAAACTTATTTTTTGCAAATAGGAATGCAATACTGTAGCTATCAATATTTTCCTGCATACAAAGTATGAATTGAAGAGTTAAGATCTGTTATGTCAAAAATGGTAACAACAAAATGTTAGAGGAAAATAACACAAATTACAAACAAATCACAAAACAGTGTATCACTTCATAATTTTAAAAGGATGATAAGATGACACAGGGATGACAACCCTCACATTCCTTTGTGACAAAGAGTGACTTTTTAGTGTTTCAGGAACCTGATACCTGGGGACTTTCTCTCAACTGAAGTGTTCATACAGCAGTGAAGATACCTTAATGCAGATACCTGTCACACAGGAGCACCAAAAAAATCTGACAAAGGTAACATAAAATATGCTATTAGATCAGATTATGTTTCTTGTTCATACAAAAACCAGCAGTTTTGTGCACATTAATTTCTCAGCACAAAAGGATAATCTCATTCCAAGTATTCAATCACACTCTAATCTGGCTGTATGCTTAAAACGGATATTTTACACATTATACTTCAAACACACAGAACAATTGTGATACCAGCAGCACTATTCAATTTGCTTAAATTAGCCATGTGCTCAAGTGCTTTACTAAATCAACAGCGAAAGCCAGAAGTTTTAAACTGTCTTGACAACATACTGTAGATGTTACAGAACATTTTGATAAGATTGTCATTGACAGATGAACACAGACATCAAATTATATTCATATGAAAACAACTATTACGGAGTTTGCTGAGTGGATATGCAATTTGTTTTGTTCTTCTTTTTGATTTAAGATTACAGTAACTTTTATATCTACTTTCGAGTGCCCAAAGTGCAACTGTTAGATAGAAAATAAGATTCTGAGCTCACCATTATCGTCATGGGAATACTCTGTTCCAGAAACGGTGCATCTTCGGAAAACCATCTTGTTTTCAGTAAGTGTCCCAGTCTTGTCTGAAAAGATAAACTGCACCTGACCTAAGTCTTCTGTGATATTTAAAGCTCGGCACTGCAGCTGAGAGTCTGTTTCTTCATCGTATAAATCTTTATCTTGATGAATAAAGTAGACTTGGCAGATTTTAACTATTTCAATGGATACATACAAAGAAATTGGAATCAGAACCTAGAATACACAAAAACAAAGAGATTAGGATAAAACAGAAGCAAGGACACATTGAATTAGTAAAACCTAGTTAACTTCCTGCTAGACTAGAACGCAAAGAGGCCATGTAGTTTGAGTGTGCACTGTAAGCACGTGTGAAAAGAGTTTATTTACTGTGTTAGATGAGGAAAGTCTACGGTGACTTGCAGAGCTGAAATGCTTTATGTCTGGAAGGGTGATGATCAAAAATTGGACAGAAGCAAATCTTTTTTGGCTACTAAAGTGAGCTTGAAACTAGCTGGGAAAGAAAACAGAAAAAAACACCCAAAAAACCAGACAGACAATACAGTCAGGGTCCTGTAAACGTGAAAGAATGGGATAAATTTATTCCGCATAAAGAATAGACTGTTTACAAATTCACTTTTCAGGAATACAAGAAACAAAATGAGAAGTGTAAACCTCTCCACAGGAACAATCTTTTTGGCTTTGGCTTTTGTAGTGCACATTATCTGAATGAAGAACACATTTATAATTGCTGAAGGAAGAGATGTGAGAAGTTTATCTAGAAAATATTTTCAACTGTTTCTCAAGAATTGTCAAAGCTCCATGTAACACTTAGTTTGTACCTGAGTTTTAACTCGCAGATGTTTTTCAGGACAGAAATTCCTGACTGCATACATTATTCAGCTTATTGAACTAGGTACGAGGGATAAATTACAGTATGCCTATAGGTGGCAAATGTAGTTATTTAAACACAAATTACAATTAAAAGCCGGTGCTTAAAGAATTCTGTGGTGAGTTTTTTTAACCAATATCATAACCCAATACCCTAGAGTAAAAAGTAATTTAACTCATCCTCTTTCATTCCTTGTTATAAAGGAGTAGCTGCCTACAGTAACAAAGCCTCCTCTAGTGTTCCACTGGGCATACTTTCTCACGTCCCAGTGACATGAGTCTCTGTTACTTCTCTTAACTTACCACCACCTTCACCATTCAATGTATTTCTCTTCATGACCAAAAACCTTTTACTAGAGTTTTCTATCTAGCCTAGCTGAGATATGGAGTTGTTAAGAGCCATAGCTCTGGAAAGCAGTTAAAAAAGTATACAACTTATGTTTATACCAGGACACTGTACCTGAAGTGGCACCCACAGCCTCTGAGGTGTTGTTCCACAGTGGGTGGATATGAAGCATAAAGCTTGTTTTCTCCCAGGAGGGCCCATTACATCCTATTTCTTCCTAGTTGTTTAAAATAAAATAAAATACCTGAGTCTTTTGGGAGGTTCTCAGATTATTTTCTTCTCCAACGCCAAGGGTGCTATGACAGCTGACTGTGTGCATCACTTTGTTTATTTTTCAGAGAAGTTATTATCTTTTTACCACTGGGTATACCACTTCTTTTATTTAATTTTGCTTTCTGGTTATATATTATCACATTCAAAAATCAAATTTTAAAGTAACTAAATGTACTTCTTTTTAGTGCTTGGTTAGTTTCTTATATGCGTTAGTGGTGAAAAGGGTACTACCCATACTGCACATTTATAGCTTTATTACAGCAAACTATGAACAGAGGTGACAGCATGTAAAACTCAATTACCTGGAAAACTATGATCACTGTCAGAAATAAATATACTGAAGCTAAAACAGGAGACAAATATTTGCCATCAGGCTCTGGAACATCAAAAATTGGTTTCCTCTTTTCACCATATTGCCAAACCCATAGGCCGTGACCTGCAGAAGAGTTGAAAGAGAGACAAATGCAAATTACCTCCAAGGAAAAATGCTTATGATATGAATTTGTTCTCAGACTTCAGTTACATGGGAAAGTGATACTTGTTTTCAACTATTCTGCATGACTTTTGAAAAAGGCCCCCAAAACATGCTTTTTTCTGCTATGGGATTTGGAGTTTGAGAAAGGGGTTTGTCTGGCCTTAAGGACAGCATGCAAGAGTCATTTCATATAACATTATCCAAATAAATTGAGCTGGCTAGTCTAAATTAATAGTTTAGGCTCTTTCTGTAATCGTCAGGAAGACAAGACTTCTTCAGAAACTGATTCATTTCAGCGATATTTGATGCATTAAAATGAAAGAACTCCCTTGATTGCACTAGGTGTATCACTAGCCAGATATCACTAAACTAGTATCAGCTGGATAAAGTCAGAAGAGACTTACTGTGTGAATCTTACCCACTATGCCAAAAGAAATAATGAAATAACAGAATCAGCATAGTCAAGAGCATGGAAGCTAAGGAACAAAGAGCAGAAGAAATTCTAAGCCTTGCTCAAACACTTCTTTAAATTGATTATGCTGACAACTAAATAAAGTCATTATTTTGAGAAAATGACATTCTTGTTAAAGAGACAGAAAGTTGCCTTTCTAAGCAGAATGCTAGGATCTGCAGTGCTAAAAGACCTAAAATGGTATGTCTGATGTTTTTAAGGTCCAAAATGAGGAAGAATTCCACCACGATAAGAAGTATTCAAACTATCTTCACTGTCTGTCAGAAATCAGAAAAAAAGAGCAAAGGCCTACTTTAAAAGTAATCTTCTGTAAGCCATATCTGACAAGGTCCCTATGTCTTATAGAATCATAGAATCACAGAATCATTAAGGTTGGAAAAGACCTCAAGCACCATCAAGTCCAATCGTCAACCCAACACCACCTAACTCACTAAACCATGTCCCTAAGCACCACATCTACACGTTTCTTGAACACCTCCAGGGATGGTGACTCCACCACTTCCCTGGGCAGCCTGTTCCAATGCCTGATCACTCTTTCAGTGGAGAAATTTTTTCTAATATCCAGCCTAAACCTCCCCTGGTGCAACTTGAGGCCATTTCCTCTTGTCCTATCACTCGTTACTTTAGAGAAGAGGCCAGCACCCACCTCACTACAACCTCCTTTTAGGTATACTTAAAAGCACCATTGAACTCTTGAAAAATAAAAAATATATTTAAGCCAAGGGAGCAAATTATTTTGTCCCTGTACTACTAATATGAGCATATCACCACACCATTGTTTTTATTGATGTATATATTTTTGGTTTTGAGAGCAAAAACTGGAAGCCCCGCACCGAGAATGACCTACACCAAGACTTGTTTTATAAACAGCCTGACTCAGATTTTCAAAAGAATTAGTTAAGTGCTGTATCTCCACTCTCCCTTTTTGACACAAGGTACAAAAAATCGCCTGACTCTTACAGAACACAGCTTTGCATGTGTTGAAGCACCAGGCACCTCTGCTTTCCAAGGGCTCAAGCAAATTTCTTTCCAGCTCTTTTTGGTTGTTACCACCTCCAGCAGTTTGCTCCGGCTCTCTGCTGGTGGCTTCTATTCTTGTAGCAGAAGTGCCAGAAAGGAAGGTGTATGTGTCACCTACTGTCTGCCTCCTCCTCCCATTCACACTGATGCATGTCAGGAGTTTCAGCTGCACGGAAGCCACTGTAGAGCACACCCTGCTGCCACTGGTCTGGGAGCAACACCTTGGATGCAGTGTCAAAGGGGACAGCTGCAGTGACTCCCTGAAATTAAGCCTACCGTGGCACTTCAGCCCTGAGGACTGAGCTCACCAGCATTGAGACACTACAAAAGAGTGTCATGAACTCAGGGGAAACAAATATGCTGGCTGATTCACAGCTGGAAAAACTCCTCTTAAGCAGAACTAACAATACCTGGAAAAAGGCACAGAGAGATGTCTTAAAACGGCATGAGTGTTATTAAACTACACCATGGTTGTTGGGAAACGTTCTGGTGTTTATGCCGTATGACTCACACACAAACATTACCGAACACACAAGCATTAAGGATATGGAATTCATATGCCATATATAAAGAATCACTTTGGCTGCCAAACGTAAAACTCAATTCTTTCTCACAAGTTAATAGAAAAATGGACTTAAGAGTATTAACCTCAGCATTTCCTTAGACACTCCCTAAAGTCTCGAGAGTCTTCTACTTGGATTTATGCAGGTTTAGACTTTTATTTTTTCTATGTTAAAGCTGCAGCCTTAGGACACTGTGACAATGTTGTACACTGTGCCCTTGGTTTAATAAATAGTACTGGGGAATAGCACTTTGCTAATTATGCTTATTCTCTGCTCATAAATTATTTTGTTGACTGATTAATGGCATGTTACACTCTGCTACCTGTAATTTTGAGGGGATTACATGTGAAGTGGCTTCTTTTGGACTTGACATTTTTGGATGCTATCAAGGGTACTAGAATCTAAGCCTTCACATCTTTGGTACTAATAGTATATATTTGATTGATACTAAGAAGCTATTTAGATGAACTAAAGTATCAAGACACCTTGCTTTCAAAGAAGAAAACATAACAAAAACTAGACAGTATGGAGGCAGCTTTATGGCTTCCGTGTTGTGGCAGATACATATGTTTTTGATAAAGCTAAGCGCAACAATCACAAGAGAGTATGATATTTAAGTTTCTACTTTTAAACAGCACTTACCGATGGCAGAAAACAGACACATGATTAGAAGTATGAGGACACACCAAAGGACGTCGGCATTCATCTGTCTTTCAAGCTTACTGCGTTTGTAACGGGGTCCATTATTATTTAACAAGGCTTTGGTCTCATGCCCTGAAGAAGCAATTACATCAAGTGATGTCATACGGATTTTTGTTATTATTTTAAGGAAGCTATAAAAAGGCAGTATGCTTCGTCAGACAGAAAAGCAGCTTTTACCTGCATAGATTACTATTCCTGCAACCTCTTCTGTATTTCTAATGGTACATCCACGTAACAGAAGATTTTCTTTGAACAGTCCATCCTTTTTTCCACTTTTATGTACACTGCAGAAAATTTAAAAACAGAACAGAGCACAGCATGTCAAAACATTAAGCTTGTTAAATCATACTACTCTGTAATATAACAAGGCCAGGAAACACCTTCAATGTTTAAGAGGCTTTGTCAACCTGGTGGTGAAATATTTCCTTAGATCTTCCTGGGAAGACTCTCTGGCAGACTTTGAAAACTGAGAACACCTACCCAAGAATCCCAGACATGCAGCAGCCCAGCTGGAGCAGTACCAGTTGCTGTTGGATATACAAATGTACAGGACAAATGCTCGCTAGATATGCAGTTCACATCTACAGCATGTGTGCAGCCTATCTAATGCTTTGAAAATGCATTGGACTTTCTGTGCATGTGCAAATTGACTGTGAAATCACAGTTAATTCAGTCCACCTAAGAGCAGCTCTGTAGTCCATATGATTAAACCACAATTCATATGTTCTTATCAAAGAAATCCTAGAAAGATATATGGTGAATTTGGGAAAGGACTGTGTGTCAGAAGCAGTGACGCTAATGAAGAAGTCTCAGGGATAATATGCATCAGTTCAGTTAAAATTGGCAAAGGCAGGGACAGGGAGAATGAAGAACCACCCACTGTAAGAGAAGATCAGGTTTGAGACCATCTAAGGAACCTGAAGATGCACAAGTCCATGGGAGCTAATGAGATGCATCCGTGAGTCCTGAGGGAACTGGTGGATGAAGTTGCTAAGCCGCTATCCATCATATGTGAGAAGTTGTGGCAGTCCAATGAAGTTCCCATTGACTGGTAAAGGGAAAACATAACCCCCATTTTCAAAAAGGGAAATAAGGAAGACCCAGGGAACTACAGGCCGGTCAGTCTCAGCTCTGCGACCAGCAAGATCATGGAGCAGATCCTCCTGGAAACTATGCTAAGGCACATGGAAAATAACGAGGGGATTGGTGACAGCCAACACGGCTTCACCAAGGGCAAATCATGCCTGACAAATTTGGTGGTCTTCTACAACGTGGTTACAGCGTTGGTGGATAGGGGAAGAGCAACTGACATCATCTACCTGGATTTGTACAAAGCCTTTGACACAGTCCCACATGACATCCTTGTCTCTAAATTGGAGAGACACAGATTTGACAGATGGACCACTTGCTGGATAAGGAATTGGCTGGATGGTCACTCTCAAAAAGTTGTGGTCAATGGCTCAATGTCCAAGTGGAGACCAGTGACCAAGTGGTGTTCCACAGGGGTTGCTACTGGGACTGGCACTGTTTAGCATCTTTGTTTAACACGGACTGTGGGACTGAGTGCACCCTCAGCAAGTCTGCTGAAAACACCAAGCTGTGTGGTGTGGTTGACACGCTGGAGGGAAGGGAAGCTATCCAGAGGGACCCTGACAGGCTTGAGAGGTGGGTCCATGCAAACCCCATGAAGTTCAACAAGGCCAAGTGCAAGGTCCTGCACATGGGTCAGGGCAATCACAAGCACAAAACCAGGCTGGGCAGAGAATGGATTGAGAGCAAACCTGAGGAGAAGAATTTGGGGGTGTTGGCTGATGAGAAGCTCAA